CAGCAAACTATAAAGGCTGGGGTGGTTCCAAGGCCATTCCCCAGCTTCCAGCATGACTTCCTCCTTCACCAACGAGAACATTGACCCCAACTCCTCGCCTTGGATCCCACCCAAATCCTCTTGGCAAGCATTCACAATAATCCAACGACTGCTGATGCCACCCCAGAGCCTCCCTTGCCAGAGGGTGGCAATGGAGAGGATGCTGAAATGCTGGCTGCGCCTTTGCTCCCAACTGTCTCCTCCACCACTTCAACTCCTTCTCTAGTTGTCTTCGGACGCTTGGTCAAACGGAAGACAGAGTTGTCCGACTCTTCCTCGGTGGCTTTTGACCAGTTTTGCTAGGTATGTGGTTTTTTATTGGTGTGGCACAGTAGGTCAATGTGTAGCCCTCCAGGTTCGCTCTGCCGACGAGGAGCAAGTCCTCATATTCACACAGCTTCTCGAGCTGGCGGATCTGGCGAGACGGAACGAGAAGGCCTCAACCGAGCTTACGGTGCGCACCATTATCAATGCTGCTCTTCTTTGTTTACCGATATTTCGCACAAAAGAAGATCGGTGCCTACGTGTGTTCTCACCAACAACTACTGCGTACAGAGGTCTCAACGTCGGCGAGCATATCATGGTGCGCACTTCCTAGACCTCTATCCTCGCCTCCTCACGGTCCTCTCAAACTTAGAAAGCCATGCGGGAGTGTAAAGTCAAGGACCTCCCGGATGAGGAGGATACCACCGCTGTCGACGTGGTCTTGGGCAAGATCCGCGACAAGGGAACCCACCACCGCAATATCTTCAAGACTAAGGTGTGTGTTAATTCGCTCCGACATTACTCGCATCCTGACGCTCGTATTAACAGGTCAAAGAGTCGATGGAGAAGAAGTCGACATTGCGTAATGTCGCAGTCTTGACCCACAAGCTGCTCAAATATCAAACCCACGGTCCAGTCTTAACAGCGAACAGCTTTCATTGTCAGTGCACTTCATCTGGCTACAATTCCGTCAACTGACTGCATGTTTTCAGCGCTGGTGCATCCAGAGTTACCCTGTGCTCTCAGATGAAGAGTTTTGGCCGAAGGTCGACTCAACCATTGCTACGTTCCGCACTGGGAGCAAGTGTAGTGCTGACATAGATAAGTGCGTCCCTTGATTTCGCTTTCCTGAACAATTTCAAGGATTTTTACAGAGATTTACGAAAGCGACAAGACATACGGCGACCCCGCGGACACTGATTACAAGACTGTGGATACCGCCACTTCCATTCCTCAATGGCAAGTGACGCTTCGCAAGCAGGCCGACAAGGTCCAGCCAACTCCACAGTCCGGACCTGGCCCCGCAAGCAAGAAGCGCAGGATCGAGGACGAGGAAGGTGATGACTCGGGGGTCGAATCGGTGTCCGGTTAATAATAATGCGACAACATTATGTTCTAATGAAATATTATGTTTTTCTATCCATTTTCTGTCGTTCTGCCCTCTCGTGAATCGTCTGCTAAGCACCATTTGAGCGTAATGAACTCTGGTGCCAAGGCGATGAGGAGATCCCGGACATGGTAGCCAGACATCTGGGGCCATGATTTTAGGATGCAACTTCATGGTTTGAACGGTAGATTTATGTCCTCGAGAAGACAAGTAAATGACCTCAGAATGACAATGTTCATCGCTGTTAAAGCAGCCTCGGACGTCTGAGGGCAATATGCCCTTTTCTTGGATCGACATCATTTTGTCCTCCGCACTCAAATCCATGTCTAATTGATTTTCTGATTAACACCATTTTGAGCCCCCACCAAGTCCCCGTTTACCTCAGCACTGCAATCCATGTTGGCCATTGTATTGAGGTGTTAAAAATATCATTTCTCTCGTGCGGTGTATGATTTAGATTACACAAAAGTCCAACTGAGATTGAAAACCGAAATCACATTGATGATTATCATATTTTGGGTGACCTGAAACTTTATTCGAAACTAATCCGAGAAATTTCCCATTGGTTCGGCATTTCCCGGACCAATGGGAAAATTTACGGACTCATTTCGAATAAAGTTTCAGCTCACCCAAAATATGATAAATGTTGGTGTGATTTTGGTTTTCAGTTTCAGTTGGACTTTCGTGTAATCTAAATCATAGTCTTTTGAATGGGTTTCAGGGCAGCCAAATCATAATTTTATTCTATTACTCTAGGTTACAAAATCAGTGGGACCAAAAGTACTAGAAGTAAATTAAATTTCAGGTCCACCTATGTGCAATTCAACACTTGGGTGTTCAAATTGCACCTGGGTGGGCCCTAAATATGATAATTGCCAGTGTGACTTCCACCCTAGATATTTTGAAGCAAAATAGGAATTTCCACCCCTACACCTTGACATATTCAGTAGTTTCTATATCTGGACTGTGGGATCATGAATTTTGACCACAATCCCATGAGTCTAGACAAAATTTCTCAAGACCAAGTTCAAAACAGATGCTATCAAGCTGCATATGTAGTCTAAAATTTGGTTGCAAACCTCGATGGGAGATGTATGCATGGGTGAAAAATGTCAGAGGTTTCACGATTTGATGCAAAGTTGTAAGCCAAATCCCTGTTTGCAGCTGACAGATGTACTCAAGTAATTTTTGTACAGTATATGTGCCATACAAGATGCATATGGCATGATTGCACGACTGCAATGCAGTTGGTGAACTCCTATGGCACATATACTGTGCAAAAATTCCTAATTACATCTCTCAGTTGGCTACTTACAACTTTGTGTGAATCAGTGAAACCCGTAACATCTTTCATGTGTGCTCAGGTTCGCAACCAAATTTTAGACTACATGTGCAGTTCAATCACATTTATTTTGGACTTGGTCTTGAGAAATTTTGTCTAGAATGATGGGATTGATGCCAACAGTGATGCTATTCCTGATCTTGACGTCTAGGAATAGAAATTACTGAACTGCCGGTTCAAATCGAACCGGGGACTTCTCGCGCTTCGTACTCCTATGGCACATATACTGTGCAAAAATTACCTAATTACATCTCTCAGTTGGCTACTTACAACTTTGTGCGAATCAGTGAAACCCGTAACATCTTTCATGTGTGCATACATCTCTCACCCAGGTTCGCAACCAACTTTTAGACTACATGTGCAGTTCAATCACATTTGTTTTGGACTTGGTCTTGAGAAATTTTGTCGGATTGATGCCAACAGTAATGCTATTCCTGATCTTGACGTCTAGGAATAGAAATTACTGAATATGTCAGGGCGTAGGGGACGGAAAATGGCTTTAAAATATTAGTAATGGGTCATTTGAACCGTGAGGTCCATTTACGGAAAATATTCCGACTCCAAACAGGCTAGAAGTGCAAGTTGTGGCATATCACCTTGAATTGTCCTTTGGTGATGAATTTAGACTCCATAGGTTGTGCTAAGGTATCCGGAGGAGATATTCTCATTAGAAACCTTACAGTCGCCATCCGAGAGGCCTCGGGCCCATGAACATATGGCGTAGCCGACAGTGATGCGATCAATCACATCAATCACAGCCCTGATGTGATCTAATTTCGAGTTGCAACCCGTTTGAGCCTGTAAGCTACCTGTAAGTTGTCAGCAAAAAATGGAGATTTAAACCAGAAGCAAGCATCCAGCTGTAATTTGGGTGTAGAAACCCTGCAAAAATGATGAATTCTTTGCTCAGCATATCGCCCATATTCCAGCGCTGGCTGCAGAGCCACATTCCACGGTTCGGCGTCCGATGCGCATACCTCGCCCGCTTCGAACTATTCCTGGAGAGTGATATGCCGCTGCGCATCCATGGATGCTATATCCAGCCTCCCACCCCTCACCCATCTGCGGATCTATGGTGAAGGTGGCTACGGCTTGCTGGAATCTGCCCCCGTCCCGCCGACGGATACGTTTCCGCCGCACTTCCATACGCTCGACATAGCACTGCGTCGGGGAACCAACCTGTTCTTTGAGTGGCTGATCCCATACGAGAAACCACCTGTCTTCACCTCCCTGGCACTCGGAGGCAGAGCCAACGGCGCCCCTCTCGGGCCGATGGAGGCTTATTTAAAATGTATGGGCACCAAAACCGAGGCCCTCTCCTTGAGTTATTGGGCGGACGGACCAATGGTTTGCGTATCTGTCTCACCAGGAATCCACGCTAATCTTGCCGCGATCCCTGCAGCTACGTATGATCTCGAAACCCGCGTTCTCGCATCCACCGACATGCTCGTTCATCTCTCGCTCGCCAGGCAATATCCCCAGTTCCTCGGTACCAGGTTGACGCACCCGTCCTCACTCCGCCTCGCCATGATCAGCATAGAGGTGCGCCCCGTACCGGACTATGTACTCCCAGTGCTTTCGTCCATCGACGCGCTTTTGGGGACGCCGCGGTACGGGGCGCTGCGACGCCTGTCATTTATGGACGAAGTGTCCAAGAAGCCGTTTAACACGGCGGAGTTGAGAGCGCTGATGCCACAAGCAAGTGCGCCACGTTAGGTTAGGTATGAGAATTCTGTGTCTGGGTAACATAAAACACTAGTACTGGCGCACTGTTCAATGCAAGCTTTTCTAAACATTAACTTCAGAATATCTACAACATTCACTATCATCGATGACGGAGAATAGTCTCCGTAGACAGCCGCTACAACATATATGTTTCAGAAATCAGCGAGTTGGCAAGGTGAACCTGTGTAGCTAACCTCACCCCCGCAACAAGAAGACCGAGTGGCGAAACGCATCGCGCCCGCACTTCATGCCGTGTGAAAAGAGTGATAGCAGGAGGTCCCTGTTCGAACCAGGGCTCGGTCCTGAGACGGCTGAGAGGGCATTTTCTTTTTTTTTGTTTTGGAGTTCCACGGACTCGGTAACGCACGACATTCACCATAACGCACGACATTCACCATCATCTATGTCTGTAGTTTCTAGTATGATGGGAAATCCTAGTCTCCGTAAGACGCTCCAACCAACCTCGCAGATCCAGGAATCAGCGAGGAATGTGTTTAACCAACCTCACCCCCGCACCAAGAAGACCGAGTGGCGAAACACATCGCGCCCGCACCCCATACCCCGTTAAAGTACGTTAGAGGTAACGGGAGGCCCCTGTTCGACCCAGGGCTCGGTCGTTCACAACATCAGCATCGGGGGGTTTTTTTTCTTGGAGTTCCACGGACTCGGTTCGCTCGAGCCGGCCAAATCGGTAGAGGTGCAATGTGAACAATTAACACTCCATTTGTCTTCTTCTTTATTTCAACCCTGTACAAAAATCCTCCTCACTGCTCAAGCACCTCACCACCCCCTTGCCTCCCAATCCGCCACCACCGCCTTAGCCGTGTCCGCCATGCTCCGGTACTCCATCCCCAGCACGCGCACGCTCTTCTCATTCCTGTACCGCAGGAGGTGCACCGCGTCCTTGCCCGCGCCGGGCGTGCCCTTCTGGTACTTGCCGCCGGCGGGCGCGGCGTCGACTGTGCGCGCGTCGTCAGTCGCGGACGGGGGAATACAGATACAGATAACGCGAAAACAAAGAAGGGGACTCACGCCAGTCCTGCCACGCAAACGCGCCCACGGCGATAATGATGCGCTCCCCGCCCGCCGCCGCGCGCTGCAGCGCGCGCACGTCGATCCAGCACCCGCCGCCCGCGGCGCTGCCGGGCTTCGTGAAGGCGTCGTACATCATGCACGTGGAGGTGTTGAGCGTGGTGGGGGATGCGATGGCGTGGAGTATGGGCTGGGGAATTGAATCAGCGGGGGTAGGGTGAGAAGGGGCGGAAGAGAAGGGAAGGGGGACGCACACCGAGGACGAGGGGCAGGTTCAGCACCGAGAGGTCCCACCCGATTTCGGCCTTGTGTGTCTCGACAAAGTCCCATGCGGCTATGTACAACAAAACACGTTAATACTCCGTGTCAACCTCAGTACGGAAAGAGCGAGGGAAGGGAGGAGGGTGGTCACGACGCACCGCGCTCCGCCAGCGTCTTGGAGGTGCGGTACTTGGCGCCCGCGGACGCCGCGCGGCCCCGTTCCTCGACCTCCTTGACAGCCTGGTCATTCCAGTCGAGCTCGCTGAGCACCTGCGGCTCCGTTGAGATGTTCATGACGGCGGCACACGAGGAGGTCACGACGATGCGCTTGACGCCTTTCCCGTACTTGCGCGCGCTCTCGAGGATGCCGACGGTGCCCTTGATCGCAGGCTCGAGGAGCTCTGCAATATCAATGTCCCAGCATCGCTTATCAGCGATCGCACAGCAGAAGGGCAAGGAGGCGCGCACCGGCGGGGTTGTCCGCCTGGAAGTGGAATGGCGACGCCGTGTGCTCGATCGCGTCCACGCCTTGCACGGCCTCGTCGAACGCGCCGAGCTGAAACGGGCGGGGATCTAATCAGCTGGTGAATCGAGGCGGGTGAGGAGGGCGACGCACCGCGGTGATGTCGGGGACGATAGCGAGCTCGAACTTGTCGCCGTAGGGTGCAAAGAGCTCGCTGAGGTGCTTGCCCTTTTCAGCGGAGCAGACGGCGCCCCGCACGGAGAAGCCCTCTTCCAAGAGCGTGCGGACAACCCACTGGAAGCGGCTTAAGCGGATAACGCAACATAGGATGGAAGATGAAGACTTACAACAGCGATATAGCCATTGGCACCCGAGATGAGGACCTTTCCAGATGATGCTTCAATGGTCAAAGTAGGGATTGTGGGAGAAGACTGAGAAGAGCGGGAGAAAGTCGACGCGAATGTTTACGGAGATAACGCCGGATATCACGCGGCCCGGGTATCGGACACAATCACGTGTGGCATTGGCCCGCGCGTCCAGGTTTTGAAGCTGTCATCGATATGGATGGAGGGTTGATTATTTGTGCAAGATTCTGGGTGAAAAGACCAGATAATCAGCCTGAATTGAATCCACATGAATGATCTTGCTTCAGAATGAGACGAGGGACCCCTGCAGCACAGTGAATGCTCCCCTGTGCCCGCCCGAGTCCGGCGGATTGTATGAGGGTTCGTTTGTACAAAAAATAAATCCCGCGCACGAAAGAGAAGCTAGCGCGTGCGAAAGACGGAGGAAAGTACTAAAGGGGCAATAGCCGGTGCCATATTTGTATACTGAGGCGAAACAGGGCTGGCGCGTCCCACGCAACCGGGATGCATTTGTTCGGGAGTATAACGGTGAGGGTGGTGTGCTGTAAGGACAGGTGTAGGTCATTCAAGACTCTGGAATCTCAGTTGAATTTTGGCAGGCGGGCAGGGGGTGGCGGTGCCACCCAGCTTTATCTCTTCCCACCACCATGTCAGCGGCAGGCATCGCGCCCACCGGTGCCCTATGTCAGTTCACGTCAAGACACCCCCCGCCCTGGGGCTCGGAGGCTTTCATTGATCACCAGTCCCGTATAAAATTTCATGCTGCATGCTTTCCCCATTTACTATTGTACTGTTTATTGGGGGTGAAGGCCGCGGCACGGCCCGGCAAACTCGCACTTATGGTTTTTTTTTTTTTTCCTTTCTAGAGTTATACAGTGAATATTGCGAGATAGGTATATAGTTAGAGCCGATGTGTCAGAGCGGTGTTGTACTCTAATGCATGTAAAACACATAACATTTCTACATCAGTATCGGTTCCGTCCAAGACACTGAGTGTTGTAGTTGCAAAAAAGTGCGGATCCAACCGCAATGGTGCGCTCTACGTCCGTGTGAAGGATGATCCCATTGTTCGCTATCAATTCGCAGCAAGCCGAAAATGAAGGAAGGATAGATTGCCTACATATTTCGGGATCCATGCCTTGTGATTCTAGGGCATGCACCATGTTGGCCACCTGCCTGTTATATGCTACACAAATATATTGTCGGCTGAACCATCACCATCGAGATTGGGGTGACTTAGGACAAGTAGTCCTGGCTCGGTCTGAACCAAGAAGGTGGGCAAGTATGCTCTATAGAAGGGAAATTGGACGTACATTGTCAGTTACCACGCCAAATAGGAGACGAGTTTGTCGCGTTTGCCGACCGTGGTCTGAACTCCTCCAGCGACAGAGCTCCAAGAGTAGTTTACTTAAAAGTGCATGGCATCAAAAACACAGACTGACCTGGTGGTGGTTGCGAGAGAGTAGAATTTGCTAAAAAGAGGTTCTGATCCGAACCTCCGGGATTGAAATACGACTCAAAAGTGCATGGCATCAAAAACAGAAACTTACCTGGTGGTGGTGGTTGTGGTGGCATCAAAATCACTGACTTACCTGGTGGTGGAGGGTTCCGACCCTAACATCCGGACATTTAAATACGACTCAAAAGTGCATGGCATCGAAAACACAGACTTACCTGGTGGTGATGGTTGAGAGAGAGTTGAAAGGAGCTTCAGACCCGAACCTCCGGAGGCTTAAATACAACTCGAAAGGTGATCAAAATAACCACTAGGTAGGAACCTGCTAAGAAACCCTTGCCAGAACGAGGAGTGATTATTTGTATCTATGAGGGCATACCATAGCTCATTTTATTAATCATATGCTGAAGGCTCGCTTGTATTAGGTCGAGAACCGAGGCCATTGTAGAAGAAGTCTCTACTTTATATAGGTCGAACCAAACTAGGTTAGGTGAGCGAAACCCAGAAACTCAAGCCATCAAATGGGTAGTGATACAGCCCACCAGGGAATATTTCAGCTGTCGGAGACAGTCAGAATGTAATGAATGAAGCATAGAACACATCGCATCTGAAACTGCAAATCTCGGGCCTTGTTCACCATAGATCCGTTGAACACCGAGAAGAAACAATTGTTGCCGGCAGGCCGAATTTCGAAAGATAAACCTGTGAGATACTGGAAAATGGTTGAGAGTACTCCCTCAGTGGTTTTGAACAGTATTCCACATCACACGGCGATGTGGGAGGCAGATGGGAGACACTTGATATGGCTGCCCCAAACGGGGAGAATGCCATTTGATCCGAAGTCAAACTCCGCTGGGAACTAGCGGCGGAGTGGTATCAGGAAATGGATCTTGTTTTATCCTTTCCTCTCCAACCTCCCGGCCGATATCAATTCTGAGGCTTAGAAATCTTCGAAATAAATCATTTCACAAGTTCGAAATTTTGAAAGGGATAGGATGGGTGTTTGAATCTCCTGGAGGGCATCTGGTGATGTTGGATATCAGGCTTATGTAGGCTGATGAGCGGCAACTTTCGGCAACTTTTATTGTGCTTTATTATCTTCATTATCTTTATTTATTCCACCCCTTTCGGATTTCGTACGACAACTCTTACCACATCTTGACACAAAAGTGATTGCGTCAGATGAAATGGGGATGTGTCAGTGATTTACACCCGTTTGCACAAGTTGTTTGCACAAGTCCGTGAAAACCCGATAAAAAGTTTTGCGCCGTCACATACCTTTTGCCGAGTTTTGCCGAGTTTTGCCGAGGTGTCGGGATTCAGACTTCCCGGGCGCATCATTTTATCCCCAGATGGGGGTTGATAATGCAAGCTTCTTGATGTTCATTGAATGAGTCGGAATTGGGGGCAGTTGGCGCATCAGGAATTCCTCGACAACATTCGGCATCATCCACGTGACGGCGCAACATTTTTTCGGGTTTTCACGGAATTATGCAAATGGCTGTATTTTATCCCTGATGAATCCATGGACTAATGGGTTGGTCCAATGATTAAAGTCACATTAAAGAACATCTGGTTAGAGACTAGCCGAGATCTGCGACCACAAAAAAAAATCAACTCAGCCAAGCATAACCACCGTGAGAAAGTTGCACGTGTCCACGACAGATTTTGCGGGTATCGACCTGAATGCGCGGTACATGGCCGGACACTGGCCAGTTTTGGGTAGGCATGTATATCTGATATACACAATGGTAGGCTGACCTGATTTAAATTGTCATTACGAATCTGGAAGGGTGGAGGGCCGCGGCGAAATCCGCCGAGACCAAACAGATAGACACAGCCACATAGACTTTAATGCAAACCAGAAGTAACAGGTCAATTTGCACACTGAAAATTGTATGGGGGCAAAAAGAAAGCATTTCGAAAATGTTCCGCTCACAAAGAACTTGGCAAGTGCGCGAGAGAGGCAAGGATGAAAATGTGTAAAAAAGAAAGACACCTGGCGGTATTCGAACGCAGCCGAGGATTGGCACCTAATTA